ATTACTTACTAATTAATTTTAAAAAATTATAGCCTTTAGTATGAATTACACCTCAACAAAGAAAACAGGACTCCTCATAACTGGACCAATGGCAACACCATGAGAAACAGAAAAAATATTGAAATCATCAAGGATTTCATTTTACTTTGATGCACCATCAACATCCAAGGAAGCAGCAGTGAAAAAATCAAAATACGCATTGCATTGGGCAAATCTGCTGCAAAACAACTTTTTCAAATTTAAAAACCATAGATGTCACTTTAAGGAATAAGGTATGCCTGTGGGTCAATGTAATGGACTATAAAGTCGGTTTGACCTACAATGTCGGCAGTTAAAACTCACCAGCCTCTTCTTAGAAACCCTATACAAGGTTGCTATGGGTTGGAACTGACTCAAAGCCACTTGAAAACAACAACAACAACCTGAGCTGTGGTATTTGCAATTAGTGTATATGTATATAAAACCTGGATAATTAATAAAGACAACCAGAGAAGAATTGAAGTATTTGAATTGTAGTGTAGGAGAAGAATATTGAATATAACATGGATGGCCAGAAGGATTAACACAACTCTTTTAGTATAAGTACACCCAAAATGCTCCTCAGCAACAAGAAGGATACGTTTTTATAATACATACTATGGACATGTTTTCAGAAGGAATCAGTTCCTGGAGAAGGATACCCTATTTGATAATGTCGAAGGTCAGTGAAAAAGGAAGACCTTCAATGAGATGAAATAACATAGTGACTGCAACATTGGACTCAAGCATAGGAACAATTGGGAGGACTGAACAGTGTTTCAGTTTGGTTTACATAGGGTTTTGGTTTATATAGGGTTATCAACAACTGATTCTTCTACCTCCAAGTTTTTGCCTTGTTTCCTCCCCAGTTCTTGCCTTAGTCATTTAAAGACCTGTTTTCAAGATATCCTTTTATATGATGCTTTTTTTGTTGTCCCAAATGGATTTGACTGCTATCATTTTTGATACATACAATTCTGTTTGTTCAAACTCTTACTTAATCTACTTTATACTGGAGTAATGTATGCAAATTAGATCAAATTTTATAATTGCATGGCCACAAAATCAATGTTTTCTTCATCTTTGTATCCACTAACAGCATGTAGCACACAGTCCTGACTTGCTTTATGGCCTAAATTAAAAGTTAACTCCAAAGATAACTGAAGAGATTTGATAGGATTAGAGTGAAGACACTTGAGTTATCTGTTTATTTATCATTCTTATTCACAGAGAAGAAACAAACATGTAGCAGGGATCCTAAACAAAGAAGAAAATGAGGGGAAGATGGACTAAGAATAGCATAATTAGTGCCTTAAGGAATTCACACACAACTAAGTTAAACTTCTTTAAATATAGAGAAAGAAGAGATTTTATTTGCTTATTTGCTAATTTTTTTTAATTTATATTTCTTACCCACAGCAGAACATTGTTGTTGTTGTTAAGCGCCATTGAGTTGATTCTGGTACATAATGGCCCTGCATAGGGTTTCAGAGAAGTAGTTGGTGAGCTTGAACCACCGATTCTACAGTTCAAATAGACTTTGCAATCCAGTGCATTAATTCATAGTGCCAGAACATTTGGGAGACTCAAAAAAGGAATATTTAAAAAACTGTGGTGCTTTATTTCCCACTGTTCTAATATTCTACTAGTTCTATAAATATCCTTTTTTATATTTAATTCTTTACCAGTTTTATTAAATCTACTTGGTTTTTATTTTAAGAAGTATTGATTTTGTAAGAATATTTCATTGCTAATGAATATAATTGAGTGGAAAACTACAGTGGGCACTGTGCTCCAAAAATATCTTCTTGTGCCCCAAAAGACTAGAAGTCTCTTCTCTTCTCCTAGGATCTATGATGGTCAAATTTCAGACTCAAGTTAGCATTCTCTGAATTTATTTTATATCTATCCTCCAATAGTACCTCATGGCTTGATCAAACTAACACTATATTCAGAATAGTTCTTCCAAAATAGCACATACAAATCTGAGTGGATAATCTTAGAGCTGCTTATAATAGTAATATTTTCATACTCTAATCATGGCATAGCCTTCCCTGTTCAGAGCTGAAAAAACTGCACTTTATTTTTAATTTATTTTTTCTAAAGAGAAGGATTTTAAAATAACAGTTACTGTTTCTAGAGGACTATATCTGTTTCAAGTTATGAAACAGAGATTGATTACTTAGTGAATATTACCGTGACTACAATCCTCTATGTAAATTATAGTAAGATGCTACGTTTTCTGTCATTCAGAAAAATAAGGTGTGCTCTAACTACTTCTCAGATATATTTTGGTTAGAAAATAATGTGAAAGGATACGATTATTGCTTCTTAAGGACCTGGGACACTTAGTCTAAAAGAATATTATGAAGAAATAAATATTTCCAATGGGAAAATAACCCCAATAGAAATTACTAATACAAAAAGAATAGGAATTAATTTATTTAATTTCAAGAATAGTTTAAGGTATAAAGATTTTTAAGGTGTCTGACATATCTCTACTTCATTCCTTTGCTTTGAGTATTGTATTGTCATAATGCTGCCATTGCTTCTTATTTTACAATAAAATTAAAATATCAGTTTATTTGATTAATTTATTTGCCTTGGTTTTAAATATTCTCTCTGTTTTTTAATCTGAAGCCTCAACAAAATGTTCCTGGAAACAATGAGAGCTCTCAAGTTGAGTCCAAAGAGGAAAAAAACCCAAGTACTACTGAGTTTGTTTCTCAAAAGGTAAGACTAGCTTTAAACTGTGTTAGTGATATTAACATGGAAACACAGACATGATTTATTAACCCTAGTTCATGCCAACATAAAAATGTTATGTGAGGGTAAATCAAGAAGTATTGCTACAAAAGCATACAAAGCTTTATTAAATAAAAATGTCAAAATGTGAAGCTATTATTTCTAAGTATACATACATCTAGGTGTATACAATTATGAAAGAAGTGTTTCTATCCCAAAGTATTCTTCTCCAAAGAATTCCAAGCTGTCTGTTAGGTTTTACAATGAAATTCTCATAGGATAACCTTGCTACTCTCAAAGAAGGAGCATGTGCATTGTCATGACTGAAAAAATTCCTCAGTGAAACTTTCCTTCTTCATATTAGGCCCCAGTGATTGTCCTATTTTTTTAGAGAGAATTCATGAAGATTATCCCTTGGGAATCTAAAAAAAAAAAAGTTGCTGTGAATTTAACAGTTGACCTCTCTGACTTGAAATTAACTGGCTCAGTAGATCTCCTCAGAACCCATATTTTTGTTTGGAATTTTTTTTGAAGCCACCCAAATAAGACAGATACCAGTATTACTAAGAGAAGTTGTCTTCAGCCATCTACTAATCACAGGCATGTTAAAACCCGTTTTGTTTAAAATAAAAACCATGCATCTATGAACTAAGACCCTAGCAGCAATACTGTTTTACTTATCAACTATACTATCTAGTATCTACACATTTTGCTTTTAAATGTAAGAAAACAAATGTACTTTGTATGTGAATCAGACAGGTTTTCCATTAGGAGGTATAACCGGGCTCTTGAGTATCAAGAAAGTTTTCTGTTAGAGAGGGAGGTAGATGACCATTAGGATCAGTAATTTATTTATTCTCCCAACCACTGCAGAGAAAGCTGTTAAAATATGAAGAAGAAAAAAATTACATGATGTTATTCAATTGTATTCTTTGTATAATGGAAAAAACAAAACAAAACAAAACAAAAAAAGAACAGCATTACTGAGGCATTACACTAAAAGAAGGCAGAATATTACATCAAATGATAATAAGAAATATGAAGCTTGTGCTTGTGAGTATTTTTCACTCCTAGAAAATGTAATCTAATTTTAATTCTAGCATTTCGATAAAATCAAGTTTATAGATTTGTCATATCAGGATCTGAGAAACTGCAAATGACAACAATGTCTTGAGTAGATTTAAAGTTAGTATTTAATCTAGCTGAAAAAAGGATACCTGCTGATGAAACTATTGATTCTTGAAAAGATACCAGACTGCAGCAAAAGAATATAAGGAAGAATATCAATGAGCTGACAAAAATCACCCCCCCCCCGCTTTTTTTTTTCTCTGCTGGCTGCCAACTGGATTTAGAAAAGAATAATTTCTCGTCAATTTTGCTCTCAAATATTTATTGTTTTTAGGAGCCATCTCTTAACAGTGAGAACTCACAGTCACCTTTTATGTAACAGAATGGGGCACTGCCCATTGCTGCAATACCTGTATAATTGTTATGTTTGAACCCATTGTTGTAGCAACTGTGTCAAACTTAATGTATATAAACATATTTCCAAGAATAAGTTACAACATAATAAGGTTAATGAGAAATAATGTGCTTTGCAATTTACATTCTAAGGAAGGAAGATGTAAGGAAAGCTTTAAGCAGGAAGGAACATTTCTTATATAGCTTGAAAAATGGATTGTTGTTGTTGTTAGGTGCCATTGAGTTGATACCGACCAATAGTGACCTTATGCACTGCAGAACGAAGCACTGTCAGATCCTGGGCCAACCTCATTACTGTTAACACACTTGAGTCCATCGATGCTGCCACTTGGGCAATCGATCTCGTTGCTGTAATTTAGTTCTTGTCTGAACTCTGCTATCCATCGACTGAGTTCTAAGAGATGTTCTCACGTCTGTCAATCTCTGATTGTTGTCTGTTCTTGGTGGTTTTCAGTCAAAAGAACTCCCTTTAGGATGTTTTGAAGCGCTGGATTGGCTTTAACAAAATCTATTAGCTTCTGTTTATCCTGGAATGTTTTGATTGCACCATCATATTTGATTGACAATTTTGCTGGATAGACAATTCTTGGTTGGCAGTTATTTTCTTTTAGGGATATATATATATATACCCATTGCCTTCTTGCCTACTTGGTTTCTGCTGAAAAGTCAGAGCTTAATCTAATTTGCTTGCTTTTGTAGACAACACTTCTCTTTTCCCTGGCTGCTATAAGGAGTCTCTCCTTGTCTTTAATTTTGGAGAGCTTTATTATGATATGTCTCAGTGATTTTCTTTTGGGATCTGTCCTTCCTGGTGTTCTTTCAACTTCTTGAATGTTTATCTTCTCATCCTTCAAGTTGTTAGGAAATTTTTCTTCCAGTAGCTCTTCAACTATCTCTTCTCTGGACTTCTGGGATTCTTCCTGTTCTGGAATGCTAATAATTCTTATGTTATTCCTCTTCATGTTATTCTGCATGCATCTTAGACTCTCTTCAGATTTTTAAATATTTGTTTTGCTTGCTCTCCTATCTTAGCAGTATTGAGAGATTTTTCTTCCAGCTTGCTGGTTCTGGCTTCCATGTGTTCCATTCTTCTCCTTTGCCCTTTCAGGCTATTGTCCATTTCTGATATATTATAATGAATCATCTGGACTTCTTTTTGCAGGTTTTGGATTGTTTCCAATGGCATA